TTTTCTAATAAAATCAGAAGTATGAAAATACAAGTAATTTTTATTGACATTAATTGAAGTATTCTAATCTATTATTATGATTATTACAATTACCTTTGACATGCTAATTAAGTTAAAAGATTTATTTTTATAAAATACGATAAAATGCACACAAAATTATAATAAAAAAATATCATTAATTATGACACAAAACGAAATAGTTGTACTAAAAAATTTTAATAAAACAAAAATAATATTGAATTTACAATTCGTATAGGAAAGTAATCTATTCGATATCTTTGTGCGTGGCTATCATACTTAAATCAGTACTTTATATATATTACGATAGATATATCTATATAACATGTACAACATAGGTATAGTAAAACACAACAGTATACGATAAGTATCTATATATAATTAACGATCCATTACTGGATTAAAATTCGCAATCTATAATGTCTCGTGTCGTTTTCGCAGTGTGATGGATGTGTTGCAAGAGTTCGATGGATTTATAATCCATCGTCACGAAAATTTAATCCGCGGCTGGCCGCTACGTCTCGTCGTAAAATTTATGAACTGACAATCGGACTGCCGCTTCCTTGGCGAAGAATCGACGTCTTTCGTGCCGAGTGTTTTTGACACGAGATGGTCGACCCAATCGATGCCAGGTTGGAATAGCAGAACCGGAAGTAGAACGTTTAGGCCTGTCGACAACGACAAGATAAAAGGAAAGAGGAAGAGAGAGGGAAGAATCAAGCCACCGACTTAAGTCTAGATCTCTTGAGTCGTCAGTCACTTCAGGAGGAAGTCACTTAACTCCTTCAACGAGAAATGCGAAACTAAATGAGATATCTTTTTCATGTGACATCAAAAAGCTCGTCAATGGACATTATATAAATGGTTGATAAATTTATTAATTAATAATTTTTATTTATGCAATTTATCAATTTATTTATCAATTATTTTTTAAAAACAATAAAGAAAAAAGGCTATGAGCCAAAAATTATTTTATAAAATTAAACATCGTTAATATAGAAGTTTAAACATAAGTAAAAGAAACAATCGATCCTTTAGTTGATTTAATACAATGCTAGCAATAAACAAATAGATTTTTTTCGATCGCAATCAGAGCATTATCAATGTTAAAAAGATAATATTACAAACGGTAAAAACAAAACATAATATAAATTTATACTTCGCTCTTTCTAAATTATTTTTTGTTTAAAGGGAGGTAAATGAAATAACATACAATTTAAAAGGAGATAAATAAAATAATAATACAATTTCACTGTAAAACGGAAAAGATGTACCGTTAAAAATTGAATAAATTCTTATGACAGTAAAAAATTATTTAGGTTTCAAATAGTTTTCAAATAATCGATGATTTGGCAAAGTGTAATGAATCGCGACAACTTCATCGACTCATTCGAATCGTGCATTCAAATAAATAGCTTAATAATCCCACGAATTAAGCCGGTTTATATTTGCTCAAAATAATCATTATTGCCCTCTCTATATTTATTGACTATATAATCACTGACAATTATCTTCTGTATATGCTATGAAGTATCGTTAAAATTACTTTTGATTGTTAGGCAGGCGATACTAATACGATATGCATCTATAAAGGCTTCAATGAAACATTTTAAATTTAAGTAAGTAATTAAGGAGATATGATAAATGAATTGTATATAGCACATATACTAATATTTATTAGTATATGTTTTAATATTTATTAAAAAAACTGTATCTATATGAAAAGAATACGTAACTATATGAAAAATGTATTTATAATATTCTATTTTTATTAAAAAACACATTTTTATAGTTTACTTTTATTTGTTATTTTATTATTATAAACTAAAATTTAAAAATGAATAACAAAAATTTAAATGTTTTTAATGTTTTTATATATGTACTTTAAATATTCAGAATGATCTACGCAAAAGTTTTACCGATTAGGAAAAATAAATTAAAAATATTTTATTCATTTACAAAACAACTAATTTCTGCATCGCAATATTCGTATAAATCTCTTTGAATGCTTTAAGTTCTTATTAAAAAAATTGAGACTTTTGTCATCACTTTAAATAAAAAGAATTAAAATAATTTTTATTCAAATACGTTAAGTTTTTTGTATTACATGTATTTAAATGCGATCTAGAATAATCTCTAACATTTTCATAATCTTTTATTATTTTAAAATATCGATCATACCTTCTTAATTAATCACACAACACGCATGTAATCGGTTAGAAAAAAAATCTCCTCGCGCCTGGAAAACTCGCGAGGGAAAGCAATCATGTGTATGACATTCGTCAGCCCCGTTCCGCGAGAATGTGCATACAATATTCCTTGTCAGAGCTTGATTAGCATGTCTATAACCCGCCTCGTGCTCAAGTTTCGTAATGTTTTGCTGTGAAACTGATATACTCCCTGAAATGTAAGTATCATCGATCTCTTCGAACGATCCGCACATACCCCATGACAAAATCAAGTTCTCATGTTCAGCTTTGCTCTTGCTCTTTCGCTGGATAAATCTACATAAAATTTCGCGTAGAAATCCATAGAATAAGTAGTGAAATATTTTATTATTCAATTTCTATATTATTTTTAGGATACGCTCCACTTAACGTTCACAACATATTTTTATCGCATATTTTTATCCTTATTTAATATTTGATGACAAAAAGGAAGAAATAATCGCGAGCGTTTCGAACATTTAGTAGAACGTACTCTTTAATGTAATATTAAGATGAAGACCTATTTTTGTGAGGAAAAGAAAAAATAGACATCATATCGTTTGTAGATGGAATTAGTAGATTGCTGCGTAATGCTTTATTTGTACATCCAAAACGCGATTTAATATTCATATATATATGTTTTTATATACATTACAATGTAGTAATTTCTCATTGTCGAGACAAAATAATAAGATTTCTCGTTAAAATATATGTCTTTATAAGTTTCATACACGAAGAAGAACAAGGAAACTATTTTCGGAATCTCATATCGATATAAGTTGTAGAACTGGCACACTTTCGGCTCGTGTCGCCCGTATTGTTTTCTGCAAAGGACATAATTTTCAAGAGTATAATATTTTACGTCATGTAACTTTCCTGGAAGTTTAAATTTTAAGCGCTAGTCTCTTCTTCTCTCTCGAAGATACGTCAGTTATATAGTGGAAACTTACTAGGAAGACTCCCACATCGGGAGTTTGTTCGGCAGTCCTTAAAGTTTCTTTAAGTATTCGCCTTAGTAGTGGACGACCTTTTTAAGATGTTCCTAGTAATCAGTATGCAATAATCGACGCTGCGCTTTTATAATGTCTTCCCGCGAAAGACAGACTAAGATTTTAAGTCGCCTTATATGGAAGGTAGGTAACATTGTTACCAAATTTTTGTTTGTCTCGCAATGAAAGGAACATAGAATACAGAAAAAGAAAATTTTATTCTGTACTAATTAAACAATCTATTATTTCTACCTACAAACGACATCTATTTTTTTCTTTTCCTCACATAGGTCAGTATATATTCGTAGTCGAATTTTATATTTAAGACTTAAGTATGGTCTTAAAATGTCACAAGCCAATTACAGAGCATTAGCGTTTTAAGACATTACTTAAGACAATCTTGAAATAAGAAGATAAGAACTGACTATGAATATCTGCCATATATATAGAGCACTCACCTTAATATTATATTAAGAATAATACAATATTAAAATGAGTATGTTACCTTAATATTATATTAAGAATAATATAAAAATTGATTAACAAAAGTAGAAAACATTTCACTAAATATACTCTATGGATTTCTACTTTTCGCTAATGCAGAAAACCCACATGCAGAAACTCTGTTCAGCGCCGCGCGAGATCGATAGGGTTTTTGGCACAATTTGCGATCGAAGGTCCGGCTGGCAAAGAGAAGAAGACCGACGGTGAATCCGCTGCTCTTGCATCTATATACGCTATATACGCTACTGCGCGCGACGACGACGTCGACGACGAGGACGATGACGACGAGAACGACGACGACGATGACGAAGACTACGGCATTGGTAGTTGTCGTCGCACCCGTCGCCACCCTCACTCATACGTTCGCTCTCCTGCGCGCTTGCGTGCGTATTCGCAACATGTCCGCGCGACGGCTCACGGCGGCCGAGCGTATAGTCGTGGTTATGCGGCGGGGCGCGTTGCACCCCGCGAGCCGGTAGTCCTCAGTTCTCTGACGCAGGGGCGGCTCGCAATTCCCGCGCGAAGCGCCTCACGCATTCCACGTACTCTCACCCTCGTTCGCGTCGTTATCGTGCGTGCGTGCGTGCGTGCGTGCGAGCGTGCGTACGTACGTGTGTACTCGAGCGAGCTCGTAATCACGATCCTCGTGTTAACATCGTCGTCGTCGACGCTGTTGTCATCGTCGTCGAGGTGCTATTTCGTTCGCCAACCCTCCACGAGGTGGAACAGCCCCGTTCGAGGCCGTCACCGGCTCGTGCTCGAAGTGAGAGGAGAGAGAGAGAGAGAGAAAGAGAGAGAGAGAGAGAGAGAGAGAGAGAGAGAGAGAGAGAGAGAGAAGGAAGAAGAAAGGACAAGGACCGATGTACACGGTGCACCGTCCGATTGTCTGGGGGTAGCGAGGAAGTGAGAGGGCACCGCTCTTCAGCAACGTACGGCGTATACGACACAGAGAGTGCGCTCGCGCGCGAGGAAGAGAGGAGAGACGAAGGCATCGCGGGGTGGAGTGCGAACGGACGACGAGGGTGGTCTAGCCGGAGGGTGGGTGACAGAGAAACGCATAGGAAAGAGGGAGCGCGAGTGAGTGGAGCGAGAGAGAGCGAAAGAGAAGAACAGAGCGCGGAGGGTGGTTAGTGAGCGAGAGAGAGAGATAGAGATAGAGAGAGAGAGAGAGAGAGAGAGAGAGAGAGAGGGGGGGGGGGCAAAAGGCTCGAGGCAGGCGCGCGTATTGATTCCCGCGTGGCGTTATATGGTGAGGTGAGAAAGCTGCAACCGGAAGATTTCTCCTGCCTCCTTTCGCCGTCACGGAAGAAGGAGCGAGGAGAAAAATAGCCATAGAGGAGAGCGGGCCGAGTGTAAGGAAAAGGGAGAGAAGAGCGGCTCGCCGGAACACATCGCTCTCTCGCGTCTCCTGATCTCGTGCTCCCGCTCTCGTCAGGTACGTTTACGCGCCCGCGAGAAAGGAATATTCTTAACGTGTCTCGCGATTTATCCGCGTCTTGTGTCTACCTTTGCGTTTCTCTTCAGCGGTGCCAGGTTGCACGTTTCTCGAGGAGAAACGGGCAGGTAGGCAAGGCAGACAGGTCGGACTCTCTCTTGTCGCGCGAGGGTGAGACGAAGTTCACGAGCGTGAGCGAGAGATCAAGTGAAACCGATGAAAGAAAGAGAGAGAGGAGGGGAGAGACGGAGTAACCGAGAGAGAGAAAGATAGAGAGAAGGCACTCTCGAAAAAAGGGTATATCGATCGGGTTGGTCCGGGACCATCGGCTGGCACGCCACCACACGATTTTCGTAGTGGCTTCATTCTCTCTCTCTCTCTCTCTCTCTCTCTCTCTCTCTCTCTCTCTTCTCCCTCTCCTCTTTTTCCTTCTCTTTCGTTTTGTGCCCCCTTCCCCTTCCCCCTCTCTCTTTCTCTCTTTCTTTTTCTCTGTCCGATATGCCACCGGCATCGTGTGCACATCGCTTTTTCCCACGCGCTACCAGCTCGTTTTTCCTACCCAAACCGACCTCAAGTCGGCACAGGTGTCGCTCGAAAGCTCCTTGCGCGCTTCGGACGTCGACGCGCCGGTGTCCTCTTCCTTACGGGACGACACGGTCCCCGGTGAGTCCCCGTTGCACTCGATTCGGCGTGCGCGGTCTCTCTTTCCGGTGTGCCTCGCTCTTGCGCGGTGTTAGTGGTTTCGCCGATGATACCTTCGTAAGTTTTCTGTAAAGATCGTCATACGTTGTCCTGAATGTATCATCTCGCTTCAAGAAACTTGTTTTTAGCGGTGAGCGATTTTTAATCAGTGCACGACTCTTAAGAATGAATCCGACAATTTCCACTTTCGTTCGGCGCGGAAAAAAGCTCTTTCCGAGTTGGCAATCATTTTTACAACGAGGATGGATATTGGATGATGTTTCTCGAGAAAATTAGGCCAGTTATCAGGTTTTTTTTCATTGGAAAAAATCGACGGTTGCTTTGTGTAGGTTCCTTATTCTCAAGAATCACAGTACATCAATCATTCACGCAAATAGTGGTACACTGTTTGGTTTTCGTGCGCAAAAGTGGGCATAAATGGATATTAATGGATAGAATAAGACGATAAAATAGGTAAAATTTCTACAATTGCATAAGCATAGTTGTAAGTGGTTGTAGTTGTAAGAATTGACTAATCACAGTCGAATTTTGTCCTCATTTGACTATAATAGATCAATTCTTACAACTTCATCTATTTACACTGTTAAATTCATAATGTGAAATTATATTCACAATTTAAGTTATTTTTAATCTTATTTATAGATCGCCATTGCTCCTATTAATTCAATTGTCATTAATTTAATAAAAACAATAGTATTAAATAATTTAACTCAAGAAAATGTATTAAATTTGACTTAAATGTAGTTTATTATTTACTAAGTGCATACGTTAAAAATGAATTATTTATTTTAAAACTAACCACATAAATGGATTGATTTACATCTTGACATAGACGGAAGTAAAACATAATAAAATGTTATCTAACTCAAGAGAATAGATCATCATTGCTTCTTCTTTGATGTCTGTTGATTATAATAGTGCAGAACGCTTATACAATTATAGAACTAGTTTAATAATCCTCAGATGTGTTACACTTTTCAATGTAACAAGACATTTTATGAGTAACATGATTGCCGATTTCCTCTTCACGTTAACTGATGCTCTTCGACGTCACCAACAGCGACAGTCCCTAGCGACTGTCCCTCTCACGCTTCTTATGTCGCAAGATGTGATTTCTCCATTTCGTATTCCTAAATCACGATTTTGAACGTGCATTCGTGCGTGCCTTTACGTTTACGTGAGTGCGTGTACATTGTTGGAAAAAGAAATATATAACGTGTACAATAAAATATTCTTCGTTTTCCCCCGCCGTTTCTTCCGGCTGTCGGCCTCTGTCTTGCACATGCCAGTGAGGCACCCCTCTTTTCAGCGTGGTGGCCGTGGATCGATATAGCGTAGGAGGATCGCCACCGCGAGAAAGGAATCGAAGAGCGAAGTTCAAGAACCAGTTGAATGTCGGTTATGTAAATGGTTATGCCGTCGGCGTCGCGGTGGTGACGCTGTCATTTGATGTGCGAGCGACATCGGTGAAGATTTCACTACGTCTTGTGTTTGATTACGTTCGTTTCTACTTTATTTTTTTAGACGTTCTCACTGCTCCTGCTTTCACAAAAATATTATCTAGAGATTCGAGAAGTCTAGGGAATGAGATTTCGAGTCACCACATCGAATATTCGCTTACTCTCCCGAAATGATATTCAAACAGAAGATTTTCTGCTCAGTTTATTTGTGTGCTTTGAAAAGAAAATGTATTGTGAATCCATATTACGCTATACTGAAAAAAAAAACTAAATTTCAATAAATATTTATTTGAATAGTTCTAAATAAATATTTATTTGTGAATGTAAACATTTATTTGATACAGAAATCATGAATTTGATTTTTTTGAATGTTTATTTATTATTGTTAACACTTATTTAATACTATTTAAAAAAATATGATTTAGCAAATGTTTTTTCAATGTAATTTTCAATTTTTATTTCGTAGAAAAAGTTTTATTATTTTGTTATATTGTTAAATATATATATATAAATAAATACATACAAAGATATTTTTAGGTTTACTTTTTTAAAAAAATATATGTGTGAATATATGACTTTGTCAAATGTATGCAAGTTTTCGTGCAAAATCGGAGTACCTGAATGCTTAAATTCCGCCGATAAACGGTCAAACATGGAAAGAATCCAATTAGATTTCCACGGCAAGTGGAATGCGGGCGAGTTAGACGAGCTAGAAATCAAATAGTTTCTTCTTCAGTTCGATCTCTCCGTATATCGGAAGTTCTCTCACGCTTTTGCGTTAATTTCTCCCTTTATAACAGAAGCACTAACAACAATCAAATCAATTTACGAACGAATAAATACTGCCGTGCGTTCTCTCGTTGATCCTCATTATTATTTCACGTTGAACTTCGCTTTGTCGGTGTGACGTGTATACACGTGATTTTAAACATTACCTGCACCAAACAAATCGAGGAATCGTTTATTAATACTGCAAATAGCGAAGCGGTTCAGAGCTGCTTGCGTGTTTAACTAGTTATTTCCAATGAATTCTCGCGTTTGCTGAATATGCTTGGGTAAATGCCAGACAGATCTCTGCTAATCTGTACACAATGTGAGCGTAACGTTTATAAGGAAGGTAAGCGAAAGGAGCGAAGACTGCGAAAAGGAAAGAGAGAGAAAGAAAGAGACAGGCTTGATATTGCTGAGACGAGCCAGTGTCATTCGCGAGAGAAAAAAATCGCCGGGCATCGTTAAGTGTTAAGTGGCGTGTGTAAGGGTGTTAAGTAACCCGTGGCGTGATAGGACGTAGTTAATCTCACGTATGCGTAAGAACGATCGGTCCGCTTTCTTTGCGCCTTCGATACCGCCATTAACGGAGCGGCGCCGATGTTTTACTTACAGGGAAAAATTGCCAGTAGTTCACTCCCTCGCCCTTTTTCGCCCTACTCTTCTCGCACCCCCCGGTTAATCGCGCGTCTCAATAACGGCGATAATTTATTGGCCGTAGTCACGTGGCTCTCGCGACTCGCGTAAGCAGTAAACGGTGGTCGTTTCGTGATCTTTCAGGAGGACGGAACAGGGTGAGGATCGGCGCACGACAGAATGAGAGAGATCGTCAGTCACCGATCGAGCAGGGACCCGTTGGCCCTTTGCACGAGAGATGGTTTTTAGAAGGTACGTAAATGGAATGGAAGAATCAACATACACTCGCGCGTCCGTTTCTATGGCCAGTATTCATAGTCGATTTTTATATTTAAGAAGATTGTAAGGGCATAAAACATATATATTAACATTTATGCTTTAAACAAATTATATATATGTGAAAGTTGTGTTCATAACATTCTTTTTATTGAACAACGCATTTTTATAAATTATTTATCTTATTTGATATTAGTTTTATTGTTGTAAACAAAAATTTTAAAAATAACAAAAATCTAAATTTTTTAATATAATTTTAAGTATTAAAAATGGCTTGTGCAAAGTTTCATTAAAATTCACCAATTAGTTTATAACAAATGATATTTTGTTTACTTACCGAAAAATTAATGTCTCAATGTAACTTTACATAAATATTTTTGAATTTATAAAGTATTTATATAAAAAAATTGAAATTTTTATCATTATTTTATAATACATTTTCACATATTTCTATTAGAGAGACAAATTTAAAAAATATTACTTTTTATTGAAATAACTTTTGATCCCTTTTGGTCAATTGTCTTTCATTTTTTTGTATTATTTTTAAATGCTATTTAGAATAATCCATAATTTTTTTCAAGTAATTCTTAACATATTACGTTTGTCTTACAACCTCCTTAGAACTATCTTAATTCTTTGCACTCTAAATTTTTTTTCGAAAATATAATAATACACATTTAAAAATATTGAATGTAACACGACGCTTCTGTGAATAAAATTGATATCGAGTTACATTCGAAAATACATATTACATAGGAAAAGGTTAAGTAGTCTTAAGAGCGTATAAAATTACACGAATTAAAAAGAGTTGTATTAGTATATTAAGATATTACTTAGGATGAAATAAGAACGGACTATGAATATTGGCTTATTTGTTAGTGGTAGGTACATAGAGAAACAATAGTTGTTTTTTAGCAGTAAATGTATACAATAAACGAATCAGTCGAGAATGTAAAGCAATACACAGAAAGAATAATTTTGCTGAGGTATCTAAAAAAGCTAGAGGTAGATCTGAAAATAATTTTGTTGACCATCAAAATATTTACGTAAGAATCTCGAGCATGAAGAGAAATATTGCAAAAAGTTTTGACATTCTACCAGCCAGTTAGAGTGTCCTATATAATTATTTTTATAATCCAATAAAATTATTTTTTGATATGTATCAAGCTAAAATTCTTTACGTAGCAATCCTTTCCATGTAGCAAATAAAAAATATTGATCGTTTTATTGCTTTACATTTTATTGCTTAAGTTTTTCTATATGCCACTGGCATATTTGATTTTTCGCTCATCTAATTGTAATTGAATAATCATATTTAGCGATCAATAGAGCAACCTATAATTGGAGCTGAGAGCTAATTTAACAGGAAAATAAAAGCGTAGCAAATTGTCGAATTATTCACGGAAAACACGATCGTTAAAGCGTCTAAAAATTTAATTACTGATGTGAAAATAATTTTATTGGTTCATCAAAATAATCACCTAGGAATTTCAAATATATAATGAGAATAGAGTAAAAAGTTTTGATAATTTAATAATTACTTTGAACATTCCACATTATATTGATAGTCCAACAAAATTATTTTCTGTATTTAGCTAAAATTTTAGATATTTCAATAAAAACATTCTTTCCATATTGGGATAAAAAAAAAGAAATAGAAAGGATAATAGAAAGCTAGATGCGAAACATCTGACCTGAACATTATAAAAAATATGTAAAAAGAAAGAGAACATAATTTCCGCCGCTTTTTTTTTGCGTCTCGAAAATGTGGCACGAATACGAGCTCGAGCAGTATTTTAGAGAATCATCTTTTTCCGAGCAGTTACAATTCCGCGGCAGTTCAATTTCTTCCTCTTCTATGTTTTTTTTTCTATTTCCTTTCGCAAATCTTCTTCTATGTCAGTCGGAAATCGTGTGCTCAGAGTTATTTGTTTCCGACTTACTCGGGAAATATGAATTGCATGTAACGTGTCGTGAAACTGTAATAACACTCTTCCACGAAGTCACGTAGAGAATTGGCGATTGAGCATGACAGAAAATTCGTGCCAGTCGATGTTTCTCAAATAAGGTGGCTGTTTCATTGTATGTATATCGTGGCGATATACACGACAAGATCTGAATACAAAAAAAAATCTCCTTTCTCACTGGGTTTTCCTGCATATAGAAATAAGTTGAATAGTCGCATTAAATCAGTAGGGATTATATTTGTAGAGAAAAAACGACTTTGTTGAAGTATTTAAAAATTTAGCTAGATAGAGATCTGAATATAATTTTATTGAACCATCAAAATAATTAAAGATCTTAAATGTGATGAGCAATGCTGCAAAGTATTTTGACATTTTAGCAATCAGTTTAAGCATCCTATATAATTTCATTTTGATGGCCTAAAGTCTGATTGCACCAATGTTACTATGACGAAGCTTAAAATTATCTGTCTCGTTTTAAGACGAGAGAGAGAGAAAGAGAGAGAGAGAGAGAGAGAGAGAGAGAGAGAGAGAGAGAGAGAGAGAGAGAGAGAGTTTTAAGTTTTGCTTAAAATCAAAGTAATGTTGGTGCAACTTTTCTAAGAAAATTATTTTCAGATTTCTTATTATCAAATTTATATTTATTTTAGTTTATACTTCAGCAAAATCTTCCTTTCCATATGTCTGTAGAAGCCGCTGCTATAATTTAATGACACTAATACTATGACACAATATGATTCAAGCCAAAAATGCTTTTCAATTATAATTAAATATATCATTATCGACGCAATTAATATGTCGTCGCAGTAAATTTCGCCGTTACGATTACGATTACTTGCGTAATCTTGTCCGAGTTGTTACAATGAGGTCAAACGGATAGCAGTAATATATCTATCTGCGTAATTATTTTTCTGTATGATGTACGTGAAAACGTATAAATCTCACTTTTTGTGGAATCACGAAAACACTGCGAAAAACAATCGACCGTAACGTCAGGTGTCTGCGCCTTCATTTTTCGAAATAACGAAAAAAAATGACGATTTGCGCAATTTGTTGCAATCATGTTTTTCTCTCACCACTTCCGTCGTGCATTCCCCGATTTCGACGTTCCAGCGCGTAATCAGTACGAGCCTCGAGGAGTGTTTAAGCTTAATCACGGGCCGCTATGGCGAGGCTGCCCCATAAAGCACGAACGGCGCATTCTCGAAGATTTACGCGATTGCGACGAAGGGCGGGGAAGAGGGCGAGAGGGACTGGGGATACAAAATCGGTGCACGGCACCCTCGGGAGCGCGTGACGGTTTATCTTCCTCCGTTGCATGTGCATTATTATCATTATATCGTTCGTTCTTTCTACCGTCGTCCCTTCCTCGCTTCGCCCTTCGCCCCCTTTTGCTACGAAACGCTTCCCTGCAGCGGCGCGCTGCGCCGGCTTGAAAGAATTTCGCAAGGGAGAGATTGACCGTTTATTCGCAAACTACAGCGACACTGTTTACGACTCCGCATTACGATGCATAGTGAAATAGCCGGCAGGATAAGCCGCTGCAGCGCGACTTCTTAGCGGTTATGGTTTCTCCTATACTTGGTCAGCACTTGTTACTCGAACGGACCTCTCCTTTATGGCGAATTTCGCGAGAGAGATCGCTGATCCATCGCCGAGGCACGCGAGCGATAAATCGAATAGACTGAAAGATAAGGAACACGGCTGCATTGCAAAGTTCTACAATTCACGTGTCTGCAACTGCGGTAAACTAATTCACGGGACAAGGATGCACGCAATGCGCATTTTCTTTTGAAGTATTTACTTGTTTTTTTTTAATTGTATATAATAACAATGGGTGCTTTCCAACAAGAAACATGGCACAGCGAATTTATTACTTCTTTATTATTTGTCAATGTTAAAAAATGATAAAATAATCACTGTGCTACACTGTGTTTCTTGCTGGAAAGCGCCAAATATAACAAAGCTCGATATAATAAAAATATTTTTGATTTCCTTCGTAAACGAGGAGAAAATTTTTTAATAACAGCTAGATTTTTTTATCTCACGCTTTTTTGCGAGTCCTTTTGTTTTTCTGGTCGAGACTAACAATAACGCTCTTCCATTCAACGGTTCAATTACGCGAGTGACGCTGGCCGTTTCAAGCTGGGACGACATCTGCGTTTCCTCACAATCGCGCCTTGGCGTGTTCTACTTTTCCCCGACATGTGCTCGTTTCAAATAAGTTCTATGAATGAAGTTCGTCTGACTCTAATTAAATCGCGTGAATGAGAGCAAGCAGGGCCGTCACCAAAAGTGTCAAGGATAATAGAATTTAAACCGGAAAGATAAACCTATCATGTCAAAGTGAGAATGAGAAGGGGAATTTTCGCAGGAGGATCAAACTTCAAAAGTATCGTCGATTTATTTGCGATGCGGGCGAAATAATACCGTTAAGAGTTGGGACGGAGTTTGGTCGGACATTTATATGTCACAGATAATATATCATTGACTATGATATTGACAAATGACAAAAACTTCGTCTTTTCGCAAATATCACAATATTTTCGTTTATTTCTAATTTACCACGATAGGATATTATATATCGTTGATTGCAGCATTAATCTGCTTTTAATTAATTTCGAATTTTGTTCAGCGCAGCTATTTAAATTCTGCCTTGGACGGCAAGATCTCCAACAAGATGCAAACCTATCTCTGCAGCAAACATAGCCCGTTAATCTACAAAATACGTTGATTTAGCAGAAATTTCTCTTCAGAATATCACAACATTCATTTATAAAGATAATAATCTATTAAATACTTTTCCAGTCAAATATACGCAGCCTGATTCTTTCTGAATCCTCGATCAGTCGCCTATTAGATAAATACTGCTACCTTTCCTAGAAGTGACTTTACTGCAAATTCCATGATGAAAAACTACAAAAACTATAAATTTTTACAAGACACATTATTAAATGTCAAAGGAGCAATGATAATTCAGTCTTTTGAATTAAATAACATTTTGTTATTTAATTTTTAACTTCTATATGTGTCAAAATCAAACTATTTCTGAGATTAGTTTCAGACTTCAAAGGAAATATCGGCTGTATATTAACATATGCATTTAATAAATAATATATTAAATTTCAATCGAATTTAATATATTTTCTTAAGTTAAATATTATTATTTAACTCTATTGTTTTAATCAAATTAACAATATATTGAGTAACAACAGTGGCGACCTACATAGAAATTATTAAAAATAACTGAAATTGAACATATTTTGATATTATGAGAATTTGATTTATCAATATAATATCATAATATAATATTGCTCACACATTCTGTTAACGATGAGTTTGCTTTGTCCGTATTTCCAAAGAGAATTAAAGAAACGATTTGATGAAATTATATGAGGGTTCGAGAAATCCCTTGGACTTTAACGAAAAGAACGAGAAAAATCGAATAAAGGGAAGGGGGGGGAAGGGAGATTCGTTTTTTAAAACGAGACCAATAAAAAAATCAAGGATTGCGGAATGTAGGGAGGAAAAAAGAAAAAGAAGAGAGATCTCGTTAATATGTGATTCAATTTAATTGAATCTTAATGAGTGAGTCTGACACAGAATGTCGTAGAAATAGTAATCCGAGCGGCTTGGCATAGCCGATCGCGACTGACGCTCATGAGATTCCTGTCATACCATACTATGACCCCAGATCAACCGTGATCGCGTGTCGGCATGTACCATAGATTATCCGATCATGTTCGATATATAGGTTGTTCGAGAAATAGGTCACCCATCTCAGCAAATATTAGAAATACTCAGGCAGGAATGATACCCAGTTTATATAATTTTTTTTATATTGAGTATTTTTATATAAAAATGAATCAAGAATCATAAAAATCAAATGAACTCTCATGTATAAATTTGGTTAACAGATAATTCGAAAAAATTTGCATCGTTTAATAATTCGATAATTAAATAATTTCTTTTATATAATTTTAAATAGTAGGAAATAGTTGGAATTTAAAATTCTCTTTCAAAACTCTCTCTCTCTCTCTCTCTCTCTCTCTCTCTCTCTCTCTCTTTCTCTCTCTCTCCTCCTCCCTCCCCCCCTCTCTCATTAATTATATATGACGTTAATAGAGAAAACTTGAAAATTGTGAAAAAAACCGCTGTTTAATAGAATTTTCAATAAGGGATTGAGAAGATTAACAAAAGATTTACAACTAAATTGGTAATACCTGGAATAAGAAATTTCTCGAGGAACTTAATTTTCGTTCTAAATTATCTTATATAGTTATAAATTTGTAAAATTGAATTCTTGTTTCTTAATTATAAGAAAGTTGCTCATTAGATTATTTTTCTCTATTAAATTTGGAAAGTTCCGTAATAAAAGATGGTTGATTTTGAATGTTACGGATTAGCCTAATGGAATTTTAAAATAATGGAATTTTATTTTCGTTGTTTTGGAAGAAGAACAAACATTCGTAAACGAAGGATGTCCCCTTTAATTTTAGCTTTCGTGTACGACGGCGATTTATTATAAGTAAGACTGACATGTAATAGTATTGATTGTCTTGAAACAATCAGCGATGTTTGTATTTTGCGTCGAGAATCAAACGAAGCGGGCGGCGTTTAAATATTTGGCAATCGCTTTCTTTCTTTTTCTCTCTCTCTCATTTTCACACACACACACACACACACACATACACACACGCGCGCGCGCGCACTTTGTATCCTTTGATGAAATCATCATATTTACCTCGTGTTGTGCGTACTAACATTGAAATAATTATAAAATCTGAATGCGAAGCTATATAAGCAATATGCCGATCATAATTCGGCCAAAATGCTTAATTTATACACTAATTACGTATGCAATCGAATTACGATCGAAATTATATCGCCGATTTGATTGTACAATTTAATATTTATTAATTTATTATAATTTTAATCGAATATATGTTTCTCGATGCTATATCAATATTATAAAATATATTATCTTCTCAAACTATCAATTTATTCAGAACACTTGATATTTACTCTAAATATCCTAGAATTTCAAATAAAACGTGTATTTATTTCTTTTAAATAATCAAACTTAGGATTTTTTTTTTTACGAATTTTGTCGAATTACAGCGAAATCAAATTAGCGAATATTCTGAGTTCTGATAAGTTCGCAGGAGGACGAATCGGGCGAGGCTCGCCATTTTATTGAGCGAAATCGCGACACCGATGCATCTCGGGGCGCGTATTTCAATTATTAATGTCGACATCACGTGTCACGGTTATTTCTGGGAGTAAAAAAGAGACAAGACATTTCGCATGGCCGGAGGAGGATATAATAGAAATGTAGGACGGTGATACAGGAGAGGTGGGGTCGAGGGTAGGAAGAATGAGAGAAAGCGGGAGGAAGAGAGAGTACACATTCTTCCCTGGATTTATATAACTCGTCGCCGGTCTCGTCTGCGGGGGCAGAGAAAGAGAATGGAGCGGAGAGGGGAAATTATCTGCATACGCGAATAGGTAATCGATCGCGCGCGGATACAGGACGGCAGTTAATAAATTAAGATAACCGCGAATCGGAGAACGAGAGGGAAAATGGGTTAATGAGACGTGACGGAGGAAATAGTTTTCATCGTATGGGAGAGAGGAAGAAGGGGAGGTGCGATCAGGAAAATGAGAAGAGCGACACGTGGGGATTATTACGGGGATCCATTACAAGTTTATGATTCGTCCATGGATAAAATATGGCCGCGCGCCTCAATATTAACCGTATATTAATGTGGCCATAAATTAACTGTCTAAGAACGACGTTCTATTCGATGCACGAGTGAGTTAAACGGAATACTTGCGAGTACTAAACTATCCGAATTCATAATTCCTCCATTATCAGGATACACTTTCTTGCGTTCTCCGCTAATAACTTGTTCTATTTAATGCACAATTTTTCGTTCATTTCTAAAAAAACATATATTGTAGAATTTATTTTTAAAAATTAAGGATCAAAACTGAGGAAATACAGGAGATGTACGTAAAATGAACATATTAATAATTACGTACAGAGATGTATAATTGTAAGCGGAATAAGTTTTGACTTAACTACACGGAGAGAATTGTTTTTTAGAGTTTACTCTGAAAATATGGTAGTTCTGGGATAACATTGTATTTCAAAGAATGTTATGTAAATTTCTTTCATTCGTAAAAGTATAATAAAATATAAAATAAGTTTGATTAATTTTACTGAAGTACATGGTAAAATCTTTAAAATATTGTATTGTATCACAACTATCACATTTTCAGGATGAATTTTAAAAGATAATTCTATCCGTGTACAGTTATCGTGGATCTAATAATAAGCAATAGTCCATTGTTGTAATAACAAATTCAAATAAAAATTAATTAAAGATAAAAAATAAGCAAATATATACTCTTCATAGATAAAGACTGCAGTTAAGTCGAAACTTGTTCTGTTTACGGTACACAATTATTAATATAATATATTCATTCTTAGGCTGGTACAAAAGCTAGAACTTCAACATTCAAGCAGTTGTGCAACTTTATTAAAAATAAATGAAATTTAAATTAAAAGAAAGGATTTTAAATCTTAAAATCTCTACTTTTGAAAGATTATTATGCCATTTGAGTTTCTGTAAGTTTCTACATAAGGAAAATTACGAGCTGAACAAAACAGAAAATTTTCTTTTCACTTTGCGAACCTGTCATATGCTAAAAAGAAACTTGTGAAAATTTTTTGACTTTCTAACGTGAAAGCTGAAGTTTTCCTACAAAATAATTTTTTTACCGATATTTGTAAGATTTTTTGTTAATCGAGTTATCATGGATTAACTGAAAAGAGTATTTTAACTTTAATTACTCCTAACTCCGTTAAAAATCGTACTGTAATTTAAACAACAAATTCTTGGAGCTAAAACTTGGCCCTATCGAGCAGTATAACTGCGCTATATAATTTTTTTTTAACATATAAACATAATTCAAATAAAGTAATATTACAAATTTTTGTTCTAATCCAATATTTAGGTCTTTTGACCTCTAATTAATCTTTTTTGAATTTATTACAATAACGAGCTGATACTTAGATTTCGAGAGTTGATTTTATTTTTACAATAAAGAAAGGAAACTTCACACTGATTTTCTTTTTTTTTTAATCTTCCTAAAAACACGCAACTTTAACTCAACTTGTCGTCGTGATTTCAGGAAGAGGGCATGACGCACCGAACTCATGCAGTGGCGAAAACACGTGCGCATCAAGTACGGTGGTCGAGTCGGTGTCGGTCAAGGACAGCGGGAGCGGGAGCAGGTGCAGCTGCAGGTGCGCGTGGTGCAGCTGCAGCGGGAAGGGGGCGCACGACTCAGCTACGTCTGTCATCAGCCTCAACTCTCGTCAACGGCTCGCCGCAGCTGCAGCGCAGCAACCATGCTCTGCTGCGGCCGCAGGAAAGTAAGTGCAGTATAACGCAAGATTTAACATACCTGAGATTGAGCATATCGATCGTAATAAACAGCGAAGGTACCTTGAACCTCTTAAAGATCGCAATCCTCAAGCATTTGAACGCAACTTTGATCTCTGCGAAATCATCTCTGATGCCCGTTTCTATCGATGTAGAGTAACTTTAATCTCGGTTTAACTTCTCTGTCTTTTTCTAACTCTTAAAATTAGGAAAAGATGAAATTGAATCATGAAGATTAAAATTAAACTACATTGGTACAAATGGACGTAGATCGCTTATGTTTATCTCTATACCAACATAGATTAGCTTTAAGGTGCTTCTAAGATCTGTTTCTACCAACATAGATTAACTTTAATTTCAGTTTAATTTACTTTTTATCTTTTTCTGATTTTAAAAATCAGAAAAAGATGATGAGTAAGTTGAACCGAGATTAAAGTTAATCTATGTTGATAGAAACAGATCTTAGAGGCACCTTAGAGATTTTCCAAGTCGACTCAGCGAAAATATTGACAGAACGAATTAACGCTAGGAATTTTACGTGCGTAAGATCGAACTTAAATGTCTTGCCAACAAATGATGGATTCGAGCCAAATCAGAATGCGTCAAAGTCCATTTTTTGAATCCGAATTGAAGAATTCACCCCCGCGCGGAATTTTACATTAAAGATTGCGTTGGAGTGAGCTTTGCAGTGAAAAAAAGAGATCTTTAGGAACGTCCGCATACGCTATACGTCACGGAAATTTTCTCTCACGCGTGTCTGCCCTCGATTCTCGTGCGAGGATTCCGACGTTCGTATCATGCCTGAATCACATTTCATGTACATTTAAAGGGCAGACGTGAATCATCCAGCATGTCCATCACGCGTTCATTCATATCGCAACTTTTATCCGATACAATATTACGCGTTGCCAACGGTGCAAAAGTTATTCGTATACGAGCACACGTTTATAATTTTACATTCTCCGCGGGGTGCCCCGTCATGCATTCACCGCGTTCTACTTTCCGTTAAGTTTATTCCCAATGGGAAATCCTCTTGAATCTCGATGTCAAATATGTAATTGATACTATTCAAGCGTTAAATCAAGTTTCCGTTAAAATAACTCGTCGCTCAGAATCATCTGTAAAGAGCGAGATTTTATCTATTCCCGAAGTAAAATCCATTGAAAGTTTCACTTCTCGGTATTAGCTCTTTCATGCTCCGTGCGAAGAGCTTAATTTTGGCAAGAAACAGAAAGTTTTACTAGATTTTAAATCAGTACTGAAATAATTCGATGAAACGTTCCCACGCATTTACAATGAGAATTGTATTTACAATGAGAATAACACAATCGCTAGGGCTTCTTTAATAGTGTTTAATGTATTTTAGTAGTATTTAATGCGCTCCGATTTGTAACGAGTGTTAAAATTTTTCTAAGAGCTTTATATTCATTTATAATCATGAAAAATAAATGATTGTATAAATAATTATAATTTGCGAGCATGAGAGTGAGGGATTATTTTCTTTTCTCTTATTTCAAACTGAATTTAAATCTTCCATCGCCATTTTTAAAAAGTGGAATTTTGATGCGATGTTAGAAATGAAGAAAAGGTACATTTGTATGTACACGATACCAGAAGCGATTAAACAAAATTTTCAACCCTCCTTCTTCGTTATCCGTATATTGTATATCGCGAACTGAGAAACGGCGGCATCGAAAGGATGAAGCCAAAGTTATTCGAGTATATCGTTGTCGAATACCGGCTTCGGATTGCTGTCCATTCAATTTGTCTCGATAAATCGTCAGGGCTTCCATCGTGTCAGGCCGGTCACGCGATTTTTCCTTTCACGATAAGATCTACCCTCGGAATCGGAGCTTTAAGTCAATACATGACCTTAACATTAAAAAATATTGTACTGCGATTTAACATACTATATATAAATTGTTTTCCTTTTTTTCTCGAATTTAAAGTGTAAAAGATATTATTCTTAAAATTAATATTTGTGATTTTACAAGCGTGAAGCATATTTAAATGTTAGAGTTTTCAATAGATCTCGCTTCGATAACGAAAATAACGATGCGACGATCTAAAATTATCCGAGAAATTATTGAAAGAAAGCATTGTTATTAACGTACTGATCAATGATATCGTGATTGAAAGCAAAAGCAAACGTTGGGTAAAATGTCAATTGATTTAATATCGTTCCTAGAAAATCCTTAGCAATGTAATCGCGTACTCTTTAAAATTTTTGAAATGAAATCTAATTCTAACAGTGATAATAGAGGCAATATTAAAAAAAGTGGTTCAATTTTTAAGAATGAGATTTCATTCAGGGTTCTTTCTTTTAGTTATTTCATAACACAACAATCGATACTTTGTCTATGTGCTTTTGCCTAAAGTTCTTATAAAGAAGTAAAAATTTGGTTAATTATCTTTTTGATTAAAAATGGCAGAAAAAAAACAGTAGCTGTCGTAACCAAAAATTGCAATTGGTAACTAAATGGCAGATGTAAAATATGGACAGCTAAAATATATCGTAACTAATCTTATATCTATATTATAGCAGTAACAGCAAACCATTTCGCTGTAGTTTATAAATTTATAGTTACAACAGCAAATACATTATAACAAACTAAGATTAGCTGCGGCAGAGAAAATTTTTTTTTTGTGTACATGCATATACGTGCACTTAAAATATGCACAACTATAGAAGGCATTTTACATATCTGCTTTTCAATTTTTTCACGTGCTCAATCATCATCTTTTGATTGGTTCTATTATTTTTCATCAAGCCAATCAAGAATAGGACAAGATTGGCTAGATTCTTATTTCTAGTGATGCGTTCGGGGAGATGCTATTAGCGCTATTTCTGTCATTCCATCTTCATTAATACACGTTTAATACACGTAAAACAAAGAATGACACGAATAGCGCTAACACGTCTCTCCGAACACTTAAGGATCATATATTCTTGTCCTCAGTGCAGTGCTTGTACTGAGAGAGATGATTTTGTTACAGGAACAAATCAAGAGAAAGCAAATGTGATATTTATTAAAAAACTGATTGATTTATTACGATTGCAAATTAATTCGTCAATGTAACAAATAATTAATAGTATCGCTAGCAAATAAAAGATTCATATATATATATAT